GACCGAAATAGGAATTTAAGAGTTCAGAATCTTCAGGTCGCCAGGAAAGGGCTATGAGGGATTAAGAATGTAAGTTTAGCATCAGTACAGAGAGTTAAAATTTGAAGATTGGAGGGAGACTGGGAGCACTATAATATATCCAAGTAATTTCTGCACGACTACACATTTTAGCCTAGTTACTTGCATACTAAAAACCCAAAAGGTAGGAACTGAAGAGCAAAAACAATACAATATCCTTGGAATCAAATGATGAAAGCAAGAAAGGAGTAAAGAGCACCAAAGAACACAAACCTTACTGTTAACATTGTTTAGTATTGGTAATATTTTAATGGGTAATTGTGAAATAAATGCAGTTTCTATGCTAATAGTGAAAATTCATATATGGGTATTTGAAGAACATGCTCCTGAGTTCTTTTGCTAATAAGAAGTTTTGTACAGATATTTTGTGGAGAATAGCACTCCTTGCCAGTGGATGCCTAGAACTCAGCCATCTACATAACCCATCCAGCTACTGCAATTTCGTATCTTCCACCGGTTGCAATTACAAAGCTCTAGAATTAATGATGTGTAGTCGAGAGACTGATCTCATCAAATTCACATGAATATAAATCAATATGAATGGAAGAGAGGATACACGCATTTCTCATGTACACGATGTGAAATAAAATGAAATATAACTTTACAAAACTGATCCCAGAATTGATGTGGCAACTTCCCACTTGTAAAGTTGCAGACAACTAAAGCAGTTGTCACCTACCATAGTCCTCTGAATATGAGGGGAAGCAAACTGATTCTTATGGGCAATTAATATATGAAAGAGGTCCGAAATATATTGGTTCAAGCTGACTTAATAATTGATTTGTAGTCGTAGCTCGTATGAATAAAAAATTTAAGGCTTATGTGAGCAAAAATAGAATTATATAAACAGCTTAAGTTGTTGATTTGTGCACACAATTTCAATAAATTGTTCTAAGCTCTGAAAACTATAACAAAAAACATGCCGGCTAATGAAGTGGTACCTTCAGCCTGAACAAAGGTAGAACTGGAGATGTTTGTGAAGCCATTTCAGCAATGTCAGCCCTGGAAAAGATATCAAGAAGAATGAAAAATATGTGCTGCATCAACTGATTATCCGACAAACAGTGATAGAAAAAAAAGATATCAAGAAGAATGAAAAATATGTGCTGCATCAACTGATTATCCGACAAACAGTGATAGAAAAAAAAAGAAATAGATTGCTCAGTGAATATTTCATACTGCAGCTGGTAAGAAAACAAAGCATCTGTTTTCACTTTTCAGGAGCTTCCAGTTCCCATTTCACTTTCTGATGAGAACTAGCAATATTGGGTGGCATATGAGTCGGAAGACACTGAAAATACAATGACGAAGTAGAACAATTTATATGTTTTGATTCTGTATCTGAACCATTATTGGGCAGGTTTTTAATGTCTGTAGATATAAGTAATTATAATTAACCGCTGAACTTTTTTGTCAGCTTACATTGTTAGAACTGCAGGTTTCATTTGCCATTATTATGTGTCTTAAATATAATAGTATATAGACCTAAACAGCAGATCCACCAACATGCTCTCCAAGCATTTTGAAATCGCACCTCCTTCTCATGTCAAAGCCTCTGTACCTGCATCAGGAATCCAGTTATAGCAAAATTGAGAAACTATTTAGACATAATAATTAAGTAATCGCCTTTTAAGGATACTATCATACTAAGAAGAATGAGAGGGCATGTTACAACCTAGCAAGGGCTGTGAATCTTATAGAGACATTCATGCACAGTTTGGCACGGATCAATACAAGCGTTATAATGGCTAGCAACTTCTCAAGCCAAGCTCAATCATGATCTAGGTACAACTGTCGAACAATCTGCACTCAAGATATCCATTGACCAATGCAACCTTCTTATATTTATGACTATCAACAAGGCAGACTGTGAAGTTCCTGGTGCAAATTGTGCAGAGAAGACATGTCGCCGATGTATGTTACTTACATGGTCTATGGAGGGTCATAACAGAGACTAAAATGTTATGACATTGTGACGGAGAAGAATATCCAATCGCAAGCCTCGGAAGAAGCTGGTGATAGACACAGAACTGAAGAAGCGACAAAACCCATGACAAGTATAAACTGAGGCCATTCATTAGTTTTCATTTTTTCCAAGTTTAGGTTTTTTAATCGCTAAGTCGGTATATCACAGGAGTTCAACAATTTCTTCCTTAATCCAACCTTTTTTAATCGCTAAGTCGGTATATCACAGGAGTTCAACAATTTCTTCCTTAATCCAACCTTATATCAAGACCTGAAAGCAAACTTGGTTTACCCATTTCTTCCTTAACTAGTTTCGACATTCCAGACATTACTCGTTTTTGGACATTTAAACCATAGATAGCTAATTTAATGAACTGCCAATTGTTTGTCAACTACAAAAATGTAAAAGTTTGGAGCATGACTAAGGAGATTTATAATTGTCAGCATTGATAATTTGGACATAAATCAAATACTGAACCCATAATATATTTATACTTCAACACTCACGCTCACCTTATTATCACTACCATCAATACAACACACTCTAATATAATTTAGGAAACTATATGCAGATATATTTCTGGATAGTTTCTATTAAGGTTTTCGAGCACTAAACTATTAAATATTTGAAAGACGAAAAAAATACCGCGTATATTAATAATCAACCAACCAAAGTATCCACATGTCATGAAGGAATATATCTGCAAAAACCACACACAAATTAGGAATGGATTAACAAACCCCCACAAATAAATAAATAAATATAACAAAAAACATGGAAGAGTGGAAAACCAAAAGCGAAGAAGAAAATATTATTGTGCCAGTGCCACTTATTGATGTAATTAAACACTCAGTTAAAGAGTCAAAAAGAGAATGAAAGCTCATCACACGTATATACAGTAATTGAAAACTAAAAACTAACTCGTTGTCACTGTAGTTTCCATTCTGCACAGCTTTTAGACAAATTATATATGTGATGTGATGCAATTTTTCTTAAAAGTAACAGTTACAGGTAAGCAAAACAGTTCAGATCTTCAGGAACATCTCTAAGATAATAAGAGTTCGGACGATGCATACTCCTTAAGAACTTTTACCACCCGTCCAAGTGTGCACCGGATTATTCACTTGCATGAAGCAAGAGGAACAATGTATTGATAAAAGTTACGCATGGTAAAGCATACAGAGACTGTTGACTCCTTGCAGGTTCTATATCATAAATCCAATGTTTGGAGCACTTGAAACAAGCTCAGACTTCAGAGACCGAGGCAGCAAAAAAGGATATGACAGCCATTAATTCTACAAAGGAAGTTGCTTTTACAACTGCCCTAAATATCTGGAATAAAGGTTCTACTCTTGTTATGTAATTTGCCGTGAAGCCTGTTCAAGGATACAGTCTATTCTTATGTGTAGCTAGTCAAGTTATCTTTCAAACAATGGTTGTTTTTTTAAAGAGATAATGCTCTCGCAAACCATAATCAAACATCTAAATAGTAGGGAAATAGTTTGTTACTAGATTTAATTTTCATAAATATGAGATAAAGATAGGGCATTAAAATTATTTAGTCCATTGGTTCTGAAAATAGACTTCTAGTTGTTCATAATGATGTCATACTTCCCTTTGATCTGGCATCAGAATTGTAATCACTGCAGCAGCGTAGCATGAGTCTTGATGTGCTCTTTCTGACCCTTTTTTTCGTTTTTGATTTCCAGTTACTTGTTGGATGCTCAAAGATTGATTCTATGACCATACAAGAAATAAAAGATTTCATAGCACGATGGTTGCAGCGTATGATAAATTATATGTAGCTTGAAAGTATATGAGAAAGAAACACAATCAGCAGGTTTTGAAGAGGGAAAACAAGAGATATTGGTCAAGTTAGATTTCTTAACGAGGAACGATAGGTTTTTTTCTGTAAGAATATAGAAAAACTAAAGAATGAAATGCAAACTGCAGTCATAAAAAATTTATGACCAGAGGTATCTAATCGTAAGATGATTGCCTAAAGTTATCCTTCTGATGCATCGGTTCCAGCAGTAGCAGGTCAAATTGTGAATCTGTGATAGTTACGAGAAGCAGCTCTATCACGAGAAGCAGCCAATATATAATGGACTAAACCAATAAACATGGACAAAGGCAATGGGATATTTTGGTTATTGTAATTAGCTACCAAATTATGATCTTTTAAGAAAATGCTAAACTATTGGAAAAGCACTCCACATAACATCTTTAGGAAACAAGGTTATGTACAATAATATTGGACTGGCAACATGACAGGATAAGGACTGCAGAAAGCAACATCAATATCAGAGGCTCATAGGATAATTAGACGTCATGTTTTATATTTTGTGGATTAAAGGTACACTCACCTGGTGATATTAAGATGGATTGAACTGTGGATATCTATATGATGAATTGTTCAGCATTGAGAGAAAACCTTTCATGTTATGCCCTTGAATTTCACAAGTATTAGGAAAATCCACTCTGCTATCTTCTTCCAGCAACTTGAGCTTGTGATCTGAACTATCACAAGGAAGCATATCACAGTTTGTTAGTTATCCAATCAGTCTCAAAAACCACAGGCATTCTTTAATCCATTATGATTGAGCTTTTTTCATCAATCTGGTCTAGATTTCACCCTTTCAATCATGAACTTCCCAAGCTAAGATCCAGAGTATGATCAGTGTTATTAGCTGCATTAGCCCATGTTAGATTAAGTCTATTGGGTATTGGGTTAATGGGCTGTGACCCGTTAACCATACCCCTATTTGTATGACTATATATATATATATATATATCTAGTATCTGAATAAATTAATAAAAGTTAGGGTTTTGCTCTCTCTATCATCTCTTTCTACATGGTATCAGAGCATGAAACCCTAGCCGCCACAAATCCTCATTCAAAAACTCTAGCCGCTGCCGCCTCTTCTCCCCGCCGCCG